AAGCAAAAGTATTAGATCATTTCTAATTTGGGTTTCTCTGAGTATGAGTGGCTTTCATTCAAAACACAACTGCCATAACACAACACATTGACTGGTGAAAGAAGAAACACCATATGATAATTCAACTGAAGAGGGAAAATGCATCTACTAAAACTCACTATCCTTCATTTAAAAAATTTCTTTACAAAATAGGAGCAGAAATGAGGGTCTTCATTGTGATAAATGATCCCTGCAAAAATCCCACACCAATCAATATAATTAATGATGAAATTTTCAATGTTTTTCATTCAAGAGCCAAACAATACAAGGTCACACAGATAGCCATAATCATAATTTCTCTTCAATAATATACTAGAGATTTTAGCCACTACAGTTAAGCAGGCAGTAGAAGTAAAAGGTATAAGAGAGGGAAAGAGGAAAAAAAACTGTGAATATTCAAGACATAATATACAACAAGAATAGCCAGGAACCTGCAGATCAATTATTACAATTAGTAATTGTCAAATTTTCTGGGCACAAAATCAACTCAAACATTAATCATATCTCTATATATATGATAATAGTTAGAAAATGAAATTTGAATAAAACATTAAAGTCATGGAAATGGTGAAATAACTAAGTATGAATCGTAAATATATTGCACATTCATGTTTGGAAGAGACCAATATTTTTAAGGTATTCATTCTCCAAAAAGTGATCTACAGATTCATTGCACTCAGGAAGTATTTCACAGAACTTTATTGGTTCTAATTAGACGTGGAAAACCAGTAGCCAACATTGGAGAAGACAGGCTTAAAGGTTGAGAGTATGATGGGAGCTCTTGCTTTAGCAAATGAAGTCATAGTAATGAAGATAGTGTGGTACTGATGGCGCCATAGAGACAGCGATGACAAGATAGAGACCCCGCACACACTGAGACATTGCACACAAATACAGAGCACTTGGTTTATGATGGAGTTCTATGCAGAGAGTGGTGGGAAACTATTTTCTTCCTCCTAAGTAAGTGGTGCTTAGGAAAACAAATGTCTCTATGGTGTCTGTAAGGACACATCTTTCTCCATGGAGAAAAGCACTTGGCCCTGCAGCACCCTCTCCTGCTCCTAGATGCTGTGGCCCCAGGGAGACGCTGACTGAGCTGCAGAGAGCGGGGCAGGGGCGTGAGGAGCGTGGAGTCACAGGAGATGCGGCCCAGGAGCCGGGACGAGTGGCGACCTCAGGCAGGGCTGCAGCTGAGGGGACACTGGGGTGACAGACAGCCCTGGGGGCGTGACACTGTGCCTTGTGCTTTTCAATGACATGAGTGCATGGCTTCTGGGAACTTTCTCAGGAATAGTGTGAAATTAATGTGAGTTTGCACGAGGAACTTATAGAGGTGAGTTTTCTAAAATCCTCATGTCCTAGGGTATAATGCATGCAGGATCTCAGAAAATGTTCTTTGGCCGCACACGTCGCCTCCCGTTAGCTTTTGGCTGAGGTTGTTGGGGATAGTGCTATTGGGATATCAGGTCACGGGGTGGGTGGAGGGCTCTGCCACAGACAGTGGCAGACCAAGGGCCTGAGAGGCGGGGGAGGTGGGGCAGAAAGTGAGCTGCTCAGGGCCTGAGAAAGAGCCAAGACAACTGGAGAGCTCTGGGTGCTGTCATCTAGCACCTTCGATCAATCTCACACCTGCCTCCTATCCTGTGCAGGAGTGAGGGGTGGAAGGCACTGGTGCATAAGCTGGGTCCACTGACAACTCCAGTACTGTGGTTGGTTTGTCTGAGTTGTTTTCCCGGCTGGTGTGAGGGATTGTACTTACTTGTGTTTTGTAGCTTCACATCCTCTACCAAATGCACCCATTTTTCTAGTGGTGAGAGAGAGGCTGAGACCCATGAAAGATCTTAGTGACAATCTTCCTGCTTGCCTGCCACTTCTCTTTGCTGAGTGTCTATGTGGCATCAAATTTGTGTTCTTCGTTGGGATGGGACCTGGTTCAGAAATTAGAGCTGCACAGAGGGGTCAGGACTGCGGAACGTTTAGTGAGATGGGCTACAACCTCAGGAATGGGCGGTCACTCACTGGTCCCTGCCCAGGAGGCAGAAAAAGGCCATCAGGAGCAGGAGTAGCTGCGTCTTCCAGAAGATCTGTCCAAGTTACAGCTGCTGGGGTTTCTTCCTTCCAGACACAAAGCATTGAGGAAGGAAGGAGGGAAGGCTCAGGGCCCCCACAGACCTCCCAGAGGTGTGCTTCCCTCTGGCCGGGTGTCAGCATGCCACAGATGAGCACCTTCTCTGCCCTGGATTAGGAGAGAATGACACCATCACCCCACTCGCACACAAAGACTCAGCAGAAGGAATAAGAAAGTGATGCCTGTGGTGCAGCCAGTGTTACCTAGTGCAAGCTTGTTCTACTTGCTAAACAACAGGCCAATAAATCCTGAGATGAGTTGCTGAAACAAGGAATAGCCACTTTATTCAGAAAGATATCAGACCAAGAAAATGGTGGACTCATGTTTCAAAGAACCACCTAAACTTAGTTAGAATTCAGGCCACTTTTATACTAGAAGGGAACGGAGTAAACTCAAACATTTCCTGGTTCCCGTCAGCCTCAGGACAGTTGTGTTAATTTCTTCTGACCAGCAGTCTTTCATCAGTGGGCTTGTTTCCTGTGAGCTAAACAGAGGTATTTTAGCTTAGTGCTCATTACCTGGGAGCCAGTGTTCCCAAAGGTGTGCTATCATGTATAATTAATGTTACAGGCAGTATATCATTAGTGACTAGCTAACAGAATATCAAAGTTCTTCCCTATCACACCAAGAGGAGCTGGATCCCCAGGAGCCCCTCAGTAATTGAATCTCCTTTTCTCACACTTGATACTTTTATGATCCTGATAATATAATGAATAATTACTCAGTAAGGGAGGTCCAGGGATATGAGAGATTCGGCTGCTGTCCCTGTGAAGCTGACAGGAGGCAGAGGAAGGCCTAGAATAGGTGGCTAGAGAACAAGTGGTGAGGACTATGATGAGGGGTCTGCTTGTTGCCAAGTGTGAGGAAGTGGCTGAACTTGGTTTGGGAGCAGATAGACCTGGACTCACCAAAGGGAACCAAACAGCAACCCCATTTCCTATCTTGCCAGGGTTCCAGCCTCACATTGTTGTGGTGCTCACAATCAGCTCTTTAAATTTAATTATTTTGTGACAGAAATTTTCATATCCCACTATGTTGAACTAAAGTCTCGGACTTCATACTCACTGGACCAAAACCACCATCACCGGGTCCTTCGGCATTCAGTGACCTGACCAACTTGCCTGTGCTGAGGTATCCAGCACCCGTTGAGCTGAGTTGGGGGCTGTCCCATCCAAATCAGGGTTCCTGTGAGGGGGAGGGCCTTCCCCTAAAAAATGCTGGTTAGTGGTGTGTGGTGATGAGATAAGTGATGCTGATCATCCTAATAATTACTCCCCACTAATATTCTCTGTCCAGAGTGGAGAATCACGTCTCTGACGTCTCTGGGCCAGGCCATCCTGAACATGTGCAGATGATTCCAGCACTGTTACCAGTATGAGAAAGAAGAAAGAGGAAAGGAAAAGATCACATGAGGAGTTCTAAATAAGCCAAGCCCCAGTGAGTTGTAGCAAGAGCGTCTTATGAATAAACAGAGCAGGACACAAGCTTAACCATTGATGGTGATGATCTGCGGGTGGTGAAATTGTAGGCAGTTTTAAATTTCTTATTTACATGTCCTGTATTTAGCTATCTTTATATGATTATATGTGTTGCTTTTACGTGGAAAATATATTTTGCCATGGTCGAAGTTCACTCACCATGCAACAGCCCAGCAAACCACTTCTCTTTTGCCATGTTCGAAGTTCACTCACCATGCAAACATCCAGCAAACCACTTCTCTTTAGCCCAGCCTTCTCCAAGCTGCATGTTTTAAAAATGAAATTACTTTCCTTGATCAATTCTTATAAGAAATTCAGAGATTATTGAAAAATAGAAGAGAAAAAATTATTCAATAAGCTATTAGGTAAGGGACACCTTTGAAATATTAGGATACCTTGAATCAAAAATTTTTTTATCAAATGACTTTCCTTTAGAAATAAATATACACACATGTAGGGACGATGGAAGTGGGAGAGGCTGGCTCAGGCCAAGGTGGAAGAGCTCCCTCAAGGTTACTTGGGGCTGAAGGAGGATGTACCCTCAGGACACCAGAGGCTGCACAGGCTCTGGGCCCATGATTCCCAGACAGGCACTCAGCCTCCTAAGCTGTAGGCAGTCCCGGTGTGGGAGCAGCCCGCCGTCACAGGAGAGAGAGACGCCCTGGAAACAGGAACCCGTGTGCCCGTGGCATGGCCACTGCCTTGCTGGGTCCCTGGAGTTATTCTCCTTCCTCTGACCTGTGCTTTGCTAAATTGTCGAGGGGTTGGTGACAGTGTTTGGCTTAGAGAAGGTAAGAAATTTCTAACACCCAGAGAGGACCATTTTGGGGGAGAGTTTGTCCTTTTCAGTGAATTGCCCTTTAGATTCATCCCTGGCGGAAGGTAAGCACCAAAGAGATTTTCTTGCTTTGGCTAAGCACCGAATCATTTTGTCAATGATTTCTCATTGAGGAATCAATGAGCTTCTATACAGACAGCGTGGAATTTAGGGAGGAGCAAGGCCAGGGTGGCTTAGTGGGAAAGAATTCTCCTGCCAAACAGGAGACGCAAGAGACGTGGATTCGATCCCTGGGTCGGGAAGATCCCCTGGAGACGGAAATGGCAACCCACTCCAGTGTTTGTGCCTGGAAAATCTCATGGACAGAGGAGCCTGGCAGCCTCAGTCCATGGGGTTTCAAAGAGTGGACACGATGTAGTGACTTAGCAGCAGAGGGCGAGGGAGGAAGGAGGAAGTAAAACCCAGAACTGACCGCAGAGGGTGTCTTGGAGCAGCGAGGTTACGTATTGAGGTGTTTCCATGAATAAATAGGAATTCAGTCACCATCACTTTAGAGATCCCATTTATTGTGGCCCTGTGATCCCACTGCCAATCCATGTGGGATTCTTGCTGCTTCCCCAGGACAATGGTCAGTGCAGACAAAGGTCAGTCTCAAGCTGCTGTTAGAGGCGCTTCATTGTTCTCTTTATCCAGGGCAGGAAGTGTGAGACCTGGGTGAAGACTCCTGGAGGCATCCCATTCATCTTTCCATAGGAGAAAGTACCATGGACCACTTTTTTACACACGAGGGGTCCACCGAAGTCACCCTGTGGGCAGAGATAAGGGCTGAGCAGGCCTCCTTGGGGTTCTGTCTTCCCTGCCGCCCGGGCTGGGTGGTCTCAGTCAGGGGCCGTGGGGAAGACCCAGGCCCAGGGAGGCCTGGTCACCTCCCGGTCCTGGGGCTCCAGCCTGACTCTGACTGTTTTTAGCAGCTGGACTCAAGTCTACCTTTCTGTCAATTTTCTCCTGGACACTCTGGTGATAAGACAGCTGTGGGATGACTGATGCTTCTTGACCCACTCGGAAATAAAAGCAAAACATTGGATTCAAGGACCAGGCTGCCAAAGCTCTCAGCTGAGGATGAAGATACAGCCTCTGCCCTACCCATACCTCCTGGGTCTGTGCGCTTAGATGCGGGAAAACTGACCTTGAAGCCGGTCTTCGCCTTCCTTGGGTCCCCGACACAAATCTGGCTGGCCCGGCTGCAGTGGCTGGGGTAGAGGGTTTCACACACCCGGTCCTCCTGCACCGTCAGCTCTGCCTCCTGCAGGGTGGTGGCTGGAGTGCCCAGGGCCACCTGGCCCAGCCAGCCAGACTGCACACCTGTCCTGGCCTCACCCGGGCCTTGGTCCTGGGCAGACTAAGGGGCTTCACAGCTGACGTCTGCTTGGCCTTTCTCTCCAGCTGGTGGGAAGAGACAAGACTCTGGCTCAGCCGGTGGTCCTCTGGCCTGGATGCCATGATGAGGCTGCATGGACCCCGTCTCTCACCTCTGCTCCTGAGATTTGTCAGGTGGCCAGGATGGGAAGGAAGAAAGGGACAGGAGCTTCTGAGAGGGCAATGATCTGATCTCTGGAGGGCGGGGCCAGTGGGGCGTTTTCCTTGCCTGCAGTAACATGATGTCATTGGAGAAGTTCTTAGGATTATAGTCTGGGTGGCGGATGGTTCTCCTCACCTGCATGACCTGCTGGGGCCTCTCCTGCTGTTTGATGTTGTGGGCCCCCAGGGTGACGTTGATTGAGCTGCACGGAGGGCAGAGCAGGGGTGTGGGGATCATGGGGTCACCGGAGATACAGCCCAGGAGCTGTGACAGGCAGTTGACACCAGGGCAGGGCAGCTGCTGAGGGGGAATTGAGGTGACAGACGGTCCTGGGGCTCAGTGACTCTGGGCCCTGTGCTTCTCGGAGACATGAGGGCAGGGCTCCCGGGAGCTTTCTCAGCAATATTGTGAAGTGACTCTGAGCTTGGGTTTGGCTCTCACTGCACACTCTCATCCTTCTCTGATACTTTATTTGGCCATTGTGAGTCAGCCTTTCTCAACCCTGTCTCTTGTTCTCACCTCTGACCCATTGACCTCAAAACTTCCCTGTCCTGTTTCTCAGCCTTTCATCACCCTAGTCCTGCTCATAAGATGGCTTGTTTGATGAGCTCTTGTGGTCCTGATTTCCGGGATCCTGGGGCGAAGGAGGGGTACCCCTGGGCTCAGCTCCTGGGGAGAGGACGGGTCCCTGTCCAGGCATCAGGAAGGGTAGGCTGGCTACTGCCCCTCACCTCCCTCTGCAGTGAGCAGCCGTCAGAACAAAGTCCTTTTGTATGAGGACACCGCCACACCTCTTCCAACTCTTCTCACCCAGAAACTGAACCAAAGCCATGTAGGGGCGGGAGTGGGGCTTGGCCTCATGGCCCCCAATGATCTCCTCTGAAAGAAAAGGCTGAAAGATGGGGAGATGGGAGAGGCTATGGTTAGAAGGGAGGCTCGGTAAAGTGGCAATCAAGGTGGGTGGACAGTGCCCAACAGACACTAGGGGAGAGTCCCCCAGGGTCTCACTTCAGTGGGAAATACTTTTATGAACCCCAAACCTCAGTATTGTTCTCCATGCCCTGACTCCCACAAACATATGGAAGGGTCTGAGACTGCCTTCCAGAGGGTGGAGCCCAGAAGATCATGGATGGGACCCCCAGATGAGCCCTCATTCTCATGGAGTCTCCTGGACCCTCTGAGCCTCTGCTAACACCTTGATTGGTGCCATTTTCTAATAATCCACCTATGAGATTATGGAGTTGGGTTTTCTAAAATCCTCATGTCTTAGGGCATAATGCATCCCACGATCTCACTAAACATCTGTTGACTGCATGTGTGAATGGCTTCCAATTAGCTTTTGGCTGAGGTTTGGTGGGGATAGTACTGGTGGGATTTAAGACCACAGGGATGGGGGAGGACCCTGCCAAAGACACTGGGGCAGAAAAGGAATTGCTTGGGGCCTGGGGAAGAGTAACGACACCCAGAGAGCTTAGGGTGCTGTCATCTAGCCATTTCTGACCAATCACACCCTGGGCTCCTCTCCTGGCAGGAGTGAAGGGTGGGGGAAGCGGACAAGTTTCTCTGGTTCTTAAGCTGGGTCCACCGACAGCTCCCGTACTGTGGATGGTTGGTCTGAGTTGTTCTTTCCTGGCTGGAGTGAGGAATTTTCTTACTTGTGTTTTGTAGCTTCACATCCTCCACCAAGTGCACAACCCACTTTACCAGTGGTGAGAGAGAGGCTGAGAGCTACAAAGCTTTTAGTGAAAGCTTGCTTCCTACCATCCATCCTTGCTGAATGTCTATGCAGCATTGAACTTGTAGTCTCGTTGGGATGGGGGCTGGTTCAGCAATGAAGCTGAGCAGAAGGTCTAGGACTGTGGGAGGTTTAGTGAGATGAGCTAGCCTGTCAGGAATGGGGATGGTCACTCAAATGTCCCAACCCAAGAGGCAGAAGAAAGGCCATCAGGAGCAGGAGTGGCTGCATCTTCCAGAAGGTCTGCCCAGATCACAGCTGCTGGGGTTTCTTCCTTCCAGACACAAAACATAGAGTAAGGAAGGAGGGGAGGCTCAGGGTCCCCACAGACCTCCCAGAGCTGTGCATCACCCCAGCTGAGTGTGAGCACGCCATGTGTGCCCATGTTCTCTGCTGTGGGGTAGGTGAGAATGACAGTCACTACACTTGCCCTCCCACTGCTGAGTCACAAACAAGAGGAAGAACAAGAAAGTGGAGGCTGGGGTGCAGCCGGGCGAGGAGCTGGGTCCCCAGAGGCCCTCAGTGACTGAAGCAAGAGTGTCTTCATTTCTCCCCTCTTGGGTCTTCTTTGATTCTGGGGAAAGCATGAAGAATTACCCGATAGGTGAGCTGCAGGGATAACAGAGACATGGCTCCTGTGCTTGAGAAGCTCGGGGGCCGGAGGAGACCTAGAATCTGAGTAGAGATCACGTGGGTGAGGACTATGGCGTGGGGCTCTACTTGGGGCCAAGTGTGAGGCAGAGACTGGACTTGCTTTAGGAACAGAGAGACCTGGACTCATCCAAGTACCCCAAACTTCAACCCCATCTCCTGTTTTGCCAGGGTTCTAGCCTCACAGTTTTGGAGGATTTAGAATCTCCTGTTTAAATATAAGTATTCTGTAAAAAAGAGAGCCTTTCTTATCCCAAAATTTTGAACGAAAGTCCTGAACTTGATATTCACTGAACCAGAAAAAAACCATCACTGGGTCCTTTGGCAATGAGGGACATGATTTTGTTGTGCTGAGGTATTCAGCACCCCTCAAGTTCACATGGGGGCTGTCCCACCCGAATCAGGGTGTTTTTGATTTTCAGGAGGGGCTTCCTCTCCAGAAATGCTGGTGACTGGTGAGTGGTGAAGGGGAAACAGATGCCAGTCATCTAATACTTACTCCCCACTAAGTATTCCCTGTCCAGAATCCAGAGAGGCATGTCTCAGATGTCTCTGGGCCAGGCCATCCTAAGCATGCAGATGACCCCAACACTCTCACCAGTATGAGGACAGAAGAAAGAGGAATGGGAACGATAGCATGAGGAGCTCTAAACAACCCAATCCCAAGTGAGGTGAAGCAAGAGCATCTTATGAATAAATAGAAAAACAGTGGAAGGAAATATGCTTAAGCCTTAATGATGACCTGGGGGTGGTGGAACTGTGCTTCATTTACTTTTCTTACCCATATATTCTGTATTTAGTTGTCTTTCTGTGATGAATGGGCAGAGGAGCCTGGAGGGCGACAGTCCATAGTGTCACAAAGAATTGGACACAGGTAAAGTAACTTAGCATACTTGCATGCACCATTTTGTATATGTTCCATTTATGAGGAATATCTTTTGATGAGTATGTGTTACTTTCTACCAGAACACATTGTGCAATTTGAAGCTTACTCTGCATTCAAATGTTCAGCAAACCACTTCTCTTAAGCCCTCTCTAAGCTGCATGTCTTAAAACTAAGGTTGCTTTTCTGAACCCTGTATCAAAACTTCAGCAATTTATTAAAAAAAAAATACAGGAAGAAATGTACCCAATAACTATAGGCTATAGATACTCTTTGAAACTTTCGGATACCTTGAAACCAATGATTTTCTTTATAGTGAGTTTCCTTTGGAGATAAATATATTTATACACAAACACACGTGGGAATGATGAAGGTGGGGAGCTGCTGGCTCAGCCCAAGGTGGAAGAGCTCCCTAAAGGTCACTTGGGGCTGGAGGAGGATGTGCCCTCAGGACACCAGAGGCTGCACAGAGCCCTGGGCCCAGGACTCCAAAGCAGGGCTGTGAGAGGCACTCAAGCTGGGCCTAGGAATACTGAGGGTCTCCTGAAACTTTCTCAGGCTTCTGAGCTCTGCCTGTCTGACACAGGGAGGGAACACTGCATGGGGTGAGCTACACCTTTGTAAACTTCCCCCATTTCTGTTAGGGTGCACAAGTGCCCACCTGCCTCAACCCTCAACCTCATGTGGCCCTCCTTCCAAATCTGGATTCTCTTGTTTTCCTCCAGGGCACTGGGATGGGGGGGAGGGGAGTAGGTGTGGACAAGGAAGAAGGAGTATGGATGAGACACGAGGGTTGTCAAGAAGAGGGTCGTGTGTTCCTGAGAGGGGTCTCCTTCTCTGATGCAGCTCACGGGAAGCCTGGACGGGAGCTGGCCCTGGGGACATGTGACTGGAGGGAGCTGGCTGTCAGTGCAGCAGGAGTTTTTATTCCAGAGTTGGAACAGGGTGGTGTCTTGGAGGCGGAAGCCAGTACCAGGTCAGAACTATAAACAGGTCAGACACGGCAGGTGCTGAATGAATGTGTTTAGGTAAGTAAAGGAGGAATCCATGATTTCTGCTCCAGAGATGGAAGTTTATTAAGTTTCAGGCAGCCTAGCTTCTAAGCACTTTGCCCAGTGCCTCCATCCCAGGGAAGATGGACAGATCAGTCCTTGGAGAAACCTCAGTCTGATCCCTGAAGTTCGTTCTGTTTCATTGTTGTTTGGATCCAAGGCAGAAAGCTTGAGATTCTGGTGAAGACCCTTGGAGGTGTCCCATCCTCTTTTCCATAGGACACAATGCCCTGGGCCACACCATTACACACAAGCGGGCCCCCGGAGTCACCCTGTGGGCAAAGAGGGCAAGGACTGAGCTCACCTTCTTCAGGTCTGTTCTCCCTGCCACCCTGGGGTGGGTGGTCTCTGTTAGGGGCCCTGGCTGATATAAGGCTCTTGTTGGTCCTGAGGGTTCAATCTGGCCCTGACAATCTGCGTCCTCCCACAGGAAGCCTCTGCCCATGTGGGACTTTGAGGCAATGTCCATCCCCCAGGGACAGCAGACAGAGACAGGACAGGAGGACAGGCTGGGGACACAGGACAGAGCTCGTTCCCACGGCCCCGGATCCAAAGACCAAGGCTTTGCATGGATAGTACTGGGGATCTCACCCTAAAGGAACTCTTCTTCTTTCTCGCGTCCCCTGCACATATCTGGGTGGTGGTTCTGTAATATTTGTAGCGAGAGGTGCATTTCTTGGCCCTTTGGACTTCAAGCTCTACCTCCTGTAGTTTATTTGGGTGGGACATATCCAAGCCAAGACGCCCCCAGCCAGCCACACTGCATAGCATCCCTGGATTCACCGTATCCCTGTCACTGGGCAGACTGATGGGGCTCACAGCGGTGGTCACTTTCACCTTCCTGGTCAGCTGAAAGCAGAGGAAAGGCACTCTTATCTACTGATGGCCCACAGAGACTGCAGGATGGTCGTGGGCTTGCCTTCTTCACAGCCCTGGGACCACAGAAGGGGTCATACAGGAGGAGGGTCTGGAATGAGGTCATGGGGGTGCAGAGCCCAGGAAGGAAGTGTCCTGGAGTCAGTGTCCCACCTGCAGTAACATGATGTCGTTGGCCCCAGTCATATTATAGCGTGGGTGTGGGAAGGTTCTCCACACGGGGATGAACTGCTGGGTCCTCTCTTGTTCCCTGATGTTGTGGGCCCCCAGGGTGACATTGATTGAGCTGCACAGAGAGCAGAGAGAGGGGTGGGTGTCACAGGAGAAACGACCCAGCAGCCAGGAGGAAAGAGCTCAGCTTGGGACAGGGCAAAACTTGGGGCGGGGCAGGGGGAGGGTGTGGTGAAATTTAGGTGATGCCCTGGGGCTGAACATCTCTAAACTGTCTGCTCCCTGGCAGCCTGGGCGGGGTGGCAGTTCCTGGAGTCCACGGAGGGTGTTCAGTCCTGCATAAGCTTGAGTGTCTCGAAGGAAAACAGGAATTTCTCACATTTGCACTGTGGGTTCCAGGCCACAACCTTGGCTTCCTTATGTTCCAGGTTTGATTGTCCCTTCCCTCCATGCGCAACTGGCATTGACCTGTCCCTCTCTCCCCAGTACTCCCCTGTCCTCTGAATAGCTTCCTCTGTTACCTGGGTGCATGGCTCTACAGCTCTAAGAGGGTTCCCTGGGAGGCTCAACAGCAGTATGGAGGCCCAGGCCCTGCTCCTCACCTTCCCAGGCAGTGAGCTGCTGTCAGCACGAAGTCCTCACCCACAAGGAAACCCCCACATATGTGAGGTTTCCCTGAAACCTTGAACCGAAGAAATGCCATGTAGGGACGGGAGTGTGGCTTGGCCTCATGGCCCCCGATGATCTTCCCTGAAAGAAAGATTCCAGCCTGCCCGCTGTGCTCATGGAGCCAAACTTTGAAGAGGGGAGATGGGATCACAGTTTTCCTGAGTTCAGAAATTTTCTTAGATGGACAAGGCCCAGGCTGTGCATGAGTGTAGTGTCTGAGCAGGTCTGTCCATGTGGGGTGGGTCTGGGCCTCTGAGGGTGGGACCATCACTCACCTGCCTCCCCAGTAGGGGACAGAAGAAAGGCCACCAGGAACAAGAACAGGACCATCTCTCCAGGAAGACTGCCCAGATCTGAGTGGCTGCTGCTTCCTTCTGGTATTTTAACCCTGAGTTGTCCCCTCCCATACTCTGCCCTTATCATGTGAACCTTCTCTGAAAGCCTCAAACCACATTTTTAGAGTCAGAGTGGACTGCAAATTTGATTTTAGTTAAAGCCTCTGGTAAGTTTTCATCCATTGGTTGGGGTGGGGGTTGGGACGGGGGGGGCGGTGGTTGCATCAGCCAGTCCTTAAGCCTTTAGGTGCCTGAGCCCCAGAAACCTGGGCCTCATGATGAGAGATCAAAGAAAGTCTTTGTGTGCTTCATTTGAGATCACCATTGTGTATTGAGACCTCTTCTTCAGCAAGAATGTGAGAAATATTGGGGATGAGATTCCTTGCTTCATGTAGAGTAGATAAACCATCATGATCAGACTATAAGGCAAGATCCACAGTGTGGAATAGATATAATGGTGTGAAAGTGATGCTGAAGAAGGCTTATTCCACTTACTAAAGGACTCAGTGGTTTAAAATAACAGCAACATTGCTTTACCCATCTGTATTTTGGTCCGGGTACAGTGTGGATGGCATACCTCTATCCACCTTGGCTTCAAGGCTGCTTGAAGCCTGGAGGCTGACTCACTTGCAGGATTGCTCACACATGCCCAGTGGTTGGTGCTGGCTATCCACTCTGCACATTGGTTTTTCTCCACAAGAGCCCCTCAAATTGTCTCACCTCATGGGATTCTATGGCTCCCTCATAACACAGCAGTTGGTTTCCTTAGAGTGACCATCTCCTAAAAACTGAGCCATCTAGAAGCTGTGCTTTTTCATTACCTAGATTTTGATGTCATATGGCACCTATTCTACTATATTCCACTGCTTAAAGCAATCAAGAGCTCCCCTCACCCAGGTTAAAAAAGGAGGGCCCTAGACCTCCTTTGTTGCAGTCACATAAGAAGAGCCTGTGGGATGGAGACACACAACGGCAGTCGTGTCCCCATCATGAAAGTGGGGGAAATCATGGAATCAAAAAAATTGTTGTTTCTAAACATCTTGATCCCAAGCCTCTTAAAAAGCAACAACACCTTAGTTAAAGAAACAAAGCCCATGGTCAATAGTGATTCTGGCAAGAGAGTCACAGTGAACCAAGGGGTGTCCTCATCCCACATGGGCTTGGACACCCCGCACTGGACGACCTGGATGAGATATCAGAATACAAGTGAGGTGAGGAGTGTTGCCTTCCATAGGGAATGCAGAAGGGCATGGCAACCCACTCCAGTATTCCCGCCTGGAGAATCCCATGGACAGGGGAGCCTGGCGGGCTACAGTGCATGGGGTCACAGAGACTCAGACACAACTGAGCGACTGTTAGTACTACTACTACGTAGGGAGTGAACATCCAAGGGCTGTGAGGAGGGTGTTTACACAAGGGTTGACCAGTAGGTGGTAAAGGAGCTCAAGGAGGATTCAGGGACTGCAACAGAAAAGGGCAGGCTGATGGGATGTGTCAGAGCAGGACAAATAGGGCAAGGTGGGCTTTGCTTTGAAGTGGCTGCCTGACATGGATCACCAGGGCCTGGGTGGGAGAGCAGGGGATGCACTTGGAGAAGATGAGTAAGAGAAGTGTTTTATAGATCTCTGTGGGGACTAATCAAATAATTAAACATATTAAGGCAAGTGCCCCGATTTCTTACTGTCTGAAGATTTGATGATATTGGTGGCATCAATGTTAATTTCCTGGATTTGATGGTTGAATTGTGGTTGCATAAGCAGTCCCTTGTTTGTAATTTTTCTCCTAGTGTTAGGAAGTTCGAGCTAATGTCTAAAATTTATTTGGAAAATAACATGAAGGAATGACTAGTCAGATATTAAAAAACATCCTATAAGATGTATTTTCTGAAAACAGTGTGTTGCCCATGCATGATCAGACAGACAGACCAAAGAAAAAGAATAGAAAATCCAGAAACATTCCCAAGCACATATGAAAATGTAGTTTATATTAAGGTGACATTAAGAAAAAAATCACTGGGTAAAAGTAGTACTTTTTAATAAGTGATATTGGAGCAATAAGTTAGCCATACATCACATAAATCACTTGAGTAAGTGCAAAATATGAGACAAAATGTATGGAAAAAAACCATAGTAATAAATAAATGTGGATAAATCCCTTCATAAATTTAGAGGTCTAACAATGACTCTAAATACAGAAACATTAAAAGAAGAGATTGATAAATAAATTGTGATATGTAAAATACAGTTTATTTTTCTTTAATTTTTATTATTATTTATAAAATAAAGTTTATATCTCAAAAATCAAGCATAAGCAAAACCAAAATACAGACAATAACTTGGAAAAAAATTATTGCAACATATATCACAATCAAAAAGTTGATCTATATAAAAACAAAGAGTTAGAAAATCTAAAGATGAACCAAGCAGAACTGAACAGTACAATAACTGAAATTTAAAATACACTAGAAGGAATCAATAGTAGATTAGATGATACAGTGGAGTGGATCAGCAAAATAGAAGAGAGAGCAGCAGAAATCACTCAACCTGAACAGAAAGAAAAGAGAGATAGAAAAAGAATATTTTTAATGAGGACAGTTTAAGAGAACTCTGAGATAATATCAAGGATACTGATATTCACAGTATAGGAGTCCCAGAAGGAGAAGAGAGAAGAAAAGGGTTAGAGACCATATTTGAAAACATAATAGCTGAAAACTTCCCTAACATAGGAAAAGAAAGAAATATCCAGGTCCAAGAAAAACAGACAGCCCCAAACAGGATAAACACAAAGATGACCACACTGCTGCTGCTGCTAAGTTGCTTCAGTCGTGTCCGACTCTGTGCAATCCCATAGGTGGCAGCCCACCAGACTCCGCCGTTCCTGGGATTCTCCAGGCCAAGAACAATGGAGTGGGTTGCCATTTCCTTCTCCAATGCATGAAAGTGAAAAGTGGAAGTGAAGTCGCTCAGTTGTGTCCACCTCTTAGCGACCNCCTCTTAGCGACCCCATGGACTGCGGCCTACCAGGCTCCTCCATCCATGGGATTTTCCAGGCAAGAGTATTGGAGTGGGGTGCCATTGCCTTCTCTGACCACACTAAGACACTGTAATCGAAATGGCAAAAATTAAATATTAATTTTACATTAATATAAACATTAAAATCAGTAAAGGAAAAGCAAAAAGTTATGTTTAGTGGAACAAGCAGCTACCAGCAGACTTTTCAACAGAAAATTTGCAAGCCAGAAGGGAGTGGCATGATATATTTCTAGTGATGAAAGGGAAAAAAAATCTTATAACCAAGAGTACTCCACTGGGCAGGCTATATTTGAAGGAGAAAGCTAAAGTTTTACAACAAGCAAAAAGCTAGGAGTTCAGCAACACAAAGACAGCCTTATAAGAAATGTTATATGGTCTTCCCTAAATGAAAAAGAAAAGACTACAGCTAGAAGTATGAAAATTATCAAAGAAAAAGTCTCATTGGTAAGGAAAAATGAAGGTATATGTGTCTGGGAGAGAGTGATGGACAGGGAAGCCTGGCATGCTGCAGCCTGTGAAGTCCCAGAGCTGGACATGACGGAACAACTGAACAACAACCTTCAGGGTAGCTGTCAACCACTTATAAAGCTAGGAGGAAAGTCAACGACGAAAGTAGTAAACTCATCTATATCCACAATAGGCAGTTAACGAATACTTGAAATAAAAAGCCATGAAATACAATGTCAAAAAAAATGAACAATGAGAGGGATAAAAATGCAGAGTTGTAAGGATGTGTTAAACTTAAGAGGCCAACAATTGAAAATAATTACAATTACAGAATACTGATGTATATATATTGATATAT